ATTCCCCAGCCAGCATAGCTGGCTGGGGAATTCTGGGAGTTGAAGTCCACATATCTTAAAGCTGCCAAGTTTGAGAAACACTGCTCTAAAGGTTTATGGAAACTTTCATTCTCTTTCTTTTAGTTCCAGTTATGAGACCTGTTTTTTTTCCCCCTGACTTACAATAGTAATACATCTCCAAATTCTAGCCTAGGAACCATTTAAAACTAGTTTCCTTAGGCCTGCTAAGAAAGACCAACTCCTGCTTCTAGCCTATTTTACTATATTACATATGCAAATGAATCACAATCTCAGAGCACCTAGACGGTAAACAAAACTCACGGTGTGCAAAGAGTTAATATATCATCAACGGCTGACACTTCTCCGGTAAAAATGCAGCCAGGACTAAGCCCTCTGTGATTTCTCAAGTTTTATCACTTTTGGATTTTTAAAATGCTTTAGAGATTACCTAGTTACGACGCCATTTTCTGCCAGGATAAAAGAAACGGAAGAGTTTGCGGCTCGGATGAGGTTCTGAAGCTGAACGAGGAGCGGGCTTCTCTGTTCGGAGGTATGGCTTGTGAATACCACGTTACTCACTAAACCTGTCAAGGAAAAGAGACCATCTATGTAAGCACAGCATTCACCAGGAACGGTGTTCTCTCTGGACTCCAAAATGACATCTTGTAAGGGGGGGGCTCTTCCTAGGAATGGACAAAGGCTGATGTCAGACCATGTTACTTCTGGTGTCCTCCTATGAACCCCAGGAAGATACAGACTGTGCTGACAAGAGAATGTAGTTCCTGAACTACTAATTATCTAGAAAAAATCCCACTTGATCACCCCAAAACAACAGTGGAAATCAACTATTTTATTGGCTCTATACATTTCCTGTAGGGAAGCCTGTTAACCTGTTGTAGCAAATATATCAAAGAGCCATAAAAATAAGATTAATTTATTATTAAATTTACATGTCACCCAACTCCCAGCAACTCTGGGTCGTTTGTTTGTTCCTCTGTCCAACACTTGTTAGTGAGATGGGCGGTGACAAATTTGAAATATAAATAAATACATGAAAATAAATTATGTCTAACTCCTCCAAATGGGCCTTCTAGAAGAGTGAGACTTCAACTCCCATAATCTTCAGCTAGCATGGCTTCTGGTAGCTGGGGATTATTGGTGCCACAATGCAGCATCTTTGGGAAGGCTTCCAGATAGGTGTGCCCGGTCATCTCTACAAGCCAGTTTTGGAGAAATACTGACCTTGTGAACACTGGTCCAGAAACTTGGGGAAAAGAAACCTGCAAAATACAAGTGTATGTGTGGGAATCTTTGCACTAAGAATTTTAGAGAAACAGGGAATCATGGTCAAGTTTCTCAGGATTCAAATTCTCAGCTCTCCAGTCCCTGAGACTTTCCTGAACTTCTTGACAGAAGGCTCAGGGACAAGATTCAGCTTGTGCACAAGAGGCCAGTTCCTGAATGAGGAGTCTGCATCTGGCAAGCTGTTGGGTTTAAGCCTTTAAGCCAGTATTTCTCAACCTTGGCAACTGGAAGATGTGTGGATTTCAACTCCCAGAATTCCCCAGCCAGCATGGCTGGCTGGGGAATTCTGGGAGTTGAAGTCCACACATCTTCAATTGCCAAGGTTGAGAAACATTGCTTTAAGCATTTTCCTCCTGCTGTTTCAACAGATAGTTTGCTACGCTCTTCAGGAGCATGGAAGGCAGTTGAGATACATTAATTTTTGGGATTCCTGAGCCTAGGGATCTCTGCTGTTTGTCCTGCCAACTCCATGCCTAACAGAGTTGTCTTACTGTGTAAGAGTCAATGCACCAGTGTCCACATGCAGGGCATATAACTGCACCGTGGAACTGGCAGAGCAACCAGGGCTCTCCCAGTGAGGGAATCCTTCCCATGATTTCAGTTTGGAAGCTCTTAAAACTGGCAATCAGGAACTACCCTCTTCCAGTAAGCAGCTCTATTGATTAATAACTCCTCTGGATTTCTTTCCGCCAAGGTCAGCACCTGGAGGAGCAAGGGAATCAAACTTAAGACACCTTCACTGAATGCATGAATTGCACAACTGAAGGCCTCTGACGTGTCTCCAAGTCTTTGCTTGCTAACGGGATGCAGAGTTTCCACCTCCCCTTCAGAGCTGCATTTTACTGCTCTGAAAGTCGCTGCCAAATGGCCCAACTTCAATCTGATCGGCTTTTATTTGCAAGATGGCCAGGGACAGTATTCATCTTCCAAGCTGCTTTTTTTGCTGTGCCCCAGAGAAATACATGCAGCTTTAACCCAGAGACAATGGGGATGTTTGGTTTTTCTGGGTGCAGAATTTTAGCCTTCTAACCTTCCACCTGCCTACCAGGAGAACCGGCTTCGCCAGTGTGGAGATGGAATGTGTACCTGTGTTCCATGTAAGAGCTAAGGGGCTCGACACACGTCGTGACTGCACCAATGACAAAGGAGGCCTTCACGTCGGCATCTGGGTGAGTCTGAAGGGCCTGCACAACATCAATCACGTCGGTGTATCTGCAGAGGACATTGAGCGAAGAGTTGTGAAGCCAGTGGGCAAAGCAAGGGATGTGCTGGGGCCAGCACAATTGGAGAGCGTGGATGCCTGAGCACGTTCTCATGCTGAGAAAAGGCTCATTATCCCGTTCCTGGTGGAGAAGAGGAACGCTCTTGCAAAAAAGAGGAGTATCAGGTCCTTGAGGATCCCTGGCAATGGCAAGGCTTGTTACGAGCCAGCCCAGAAAAGAAATTGTCCACTAAACAGAAGCAGTCTCTGGCATGGATATTGGTCCCTTCCCAAGGGGAGAATTTTGAGACCAAAATTGTATACTGTATTACAAGCCTGTTGGGTGCTGTCTCCAAGAAACTTCCCCCAGAAAGGCTGTGATCCAGCTACAGCACTAACAATCTCTATTTATTTGACTCAACTTATACAGCTGGCCCTCTCGCTAAAGAGACAATACCAGTGGAAAAGCAAACAATGCAGGTTGTCCTCATTTAGCGACCACAATTGGGACCAGCAACTCAGTCGTTAAGTGAAGAGGTCGCTAAAGGAAACCGCAACTGTGCTTATGGTCTTCCTTCAGCTTTCCTCTGCTTTACAGACCTGCAAGCATCATCAATGTAAGGACTGGTGGTAAAGTGACTTTTTCATCACCACTGTAATTGTGAACCGTCACTAAACAAGGACTACCTGTACTTAATCAAAGCAACAAAATGACAGCCAAGGATAATACCTCAAGAAAAATCACAAACCCCCTGGGCTCCACTCACTACCTGTAAGGGTATGTGGGAAAGACCTTGGGAGACTGGGCCCAGAGACGCTGCCTAGGGAACAATCAGATAAGAGACAGCATACTCTGTAGCTGGATAGAGGGTGGGGCAAGAGGCTCAGAAGAGACCCTCCCTAATTTCTCAGTGTGTAAAGGAGATGGGGAGAGAACTGTACCTTCAGACTTCCAAGGCTCTGTTAATATAGCCTTACAATAAAGTACAATTAGTTCACTTAGTTGTGTTTCCTGTCTACCTGGTAAGTTTCCTTACTACCTGGTAAGGCTGACACTACCTGATCCCCGTGCCTGGGCAAACAGCCAAGTTTTAAGCACTTTCTAGTTGAAATGGTGTCAGGGCATGATCAGACCAAGATAGGAGTTTCACTGCAGCAGCAGTGCTCCTAAGAGAAGCTCCCTACAGGCTGGGGAGGCAGCTGATAGAAGGAGGGCAGGATGTTCCCCAAGAGCAAGGAAGACAAAGGAAGATGTTTGGTTAGCAACACGATCTGAGCTTCCATAACAAAGGGATGCAAGTTAGACCTGAGCTGAACTTTTCTCTTAGTGACTCCATGAAAACTCCCTGGTACTGAAAAGATTTGCCACAGCCTTCTTTGGGGATACTTGTTTACTCCCCGGTTTAGCCCACAGCCTTGGGATTTCCTTGGAGTTTTCCATTTAAATACTATCCTGGCCCACCCGCATAGCTTTGCAGGTCAAGGGCTGGCACAAGTATAAAGGACACAGAACTTTCCCCAATTCACTTTAATCTTAGTGACATCTAGAGAGGGCCTTCATGGCGAAAGCAGCCGTTCCTCGTTGGATCACAGAGCTGGTGTAGTGAAGCCACTGAGTGCAACCTTCTGCTCAGGGCAGGGATCCAAATTCCAGCATCCCTGACAGATAGCTGTCCAACCTCCGCCTGAACCCATCCAGGAAAGGGGAGCCCACCACGCTCAGGGTCACAGGTTCCACTGTCAAGCTGCTCTCACTGTAGGAAGTTTTCAAATATATATATTCAGTCAGGACCCGTCTTTCTCTAACCTCAATCCATGATTCTATGTCATGGGCTGCAGAATGACAGAACAGGTCCTAACCTCCTCCTGTGTGACATCCTTTAAACTACTTGAAGAACACCATCATCTGCCCACTCGGCCCTCTTTCCTCAAGATGGTAAATCTACCATCTCCCTCAATCTTTTTTTGTAAGATTTAGTTTCTAGTTCTTTTCTGTTCTTGCAGCCTTTCTTGGAACCTGATCCAGCTTCTCCAGATCCTTCTTATACTGCAGGGCCTAGAAGAGGACAGAGAATTGAGGATGGCCATTCCCAATAATAAGGGGGAATGATTATAACCAACTACTATTTTAATATTGTTTTATGAGAACTGTGGCTAAGCCAGGTAGTCCTCATCCTATACCTGTGCATTTGATGTTTGTTCCTTAAGCAAAGCACTCTTCATTTATCTGTTAAATTTCATTCTATGACTTTCAGTCCATTTCGCAAACCCAGCCAGATCAGTTTGATCTGATACTTTCCAGATGTGCTCAATTACAACCCAGATGCTGAAGGGGGTGATGGCATTGTAGACCAACACATCTGGAAGGCATTGAGTTGGGGATGGTGAAATAAAGGGACCTTCCATGTTTGGAGGCCATATACATTCAAATTCCAGATGCCCCCCACCCCACCCCACCCCACCCCGGGAAAAGAGTTGCCTTGAGGGACTGCTTGTGAACTTGCCCAAGGAATGCAAGCTGGCTCAGCCTTAGGATTCTGGATTACAGACAGAGAGACCCCCAAGCTCAATCAGGAGGTCTCCTGGGATCTTTCTGAGTTGCTCTTCCCACAAATGCCAGTGAAACCAAAATGGGTCTGGGCCAACAGGAAGAGAGGTATGTTGATTTTTTGGTTTCCCATATCCAATCCATCTCTTTGGCAGATGGGGTACAGCTGCTGGTTTGTGGGAACTTCTCCAAAAAGTCTGTATGTATCATTTGAAGCAAACGAAACAGGAATGGGGAGGCGACTGGCTTTAATCACACACGCATGGTTTTTGCCTGTGCATTAACCACGTTAATATATTTATTTGTAGTTATTTTACCACAGCTATCTAATGCCCCAATCTGACTGATTCTTAATTTCACACTTGAATTTCACAGAAAGGGATTTTGGTTTCCATTAAGTTCCACCTCATTTCTAAAATTAGAAAGGCTTTTAGCTGAGGTAAACAGCTTTTCCAGAGATTTTTCAATGTCTCTTTCATGTTTACCAAAACATAAAATAAAACATACTTTTGACTTTACCTCAACATTTTTAATAGAAACGTCTTAAACAATACTCTTAAGATTTCCATACTTAATACATAACTCCCTTGACTTAAACAGTACTTCCCTTGGGGAAAGAGAGCTGAACTACTCCACCCAAGATACAAACAATGTTTGCCACATCCTTTTCTACTACCCATTCAGGGAACATGGTTTTAATCAAGACCAAGGCGACCAGAGGGTTCCTCCCGCTCCCCTGCTGTTGGTACCTTGGGACCACTTACAACAAACACAATAAACGTGCTCTGCACATTAAAAGCCAGTGGCTTATTAAACATCTTGCATTTCATAAAACACTTTTTTTTCTTTTCAAACCTGGCTTTGTTAACTTGAAATAGAGGCCGTGTTTTTTTTGTAATGCAAATGTGTGGCAAAGGGTATACTGCACCCAGCTGGGTTAAAGCAACAATAAGTGTCTTCTAAGATAATACGAATTTTTAAACACACTAAGGGGCTTGGTTTTTGTTTCTCTCCTTTAACAGATTTTGACTGTTTTTCCCACTTTGGTTACAGTGTTCTCACTGTATATTCAGCCTGTGAAGAGCCCAAATCAACCTTCAACAGTGAAGTGAAATGGCCACATTTCTAGAAAAACACAACTCTTGAAGGTGTGTGAAGCATCTTACCCCTGGAGAACCACCAGCAGCCTCATTTTCTTCCTATGATAAGCAGAGGGCCGGGTGCTTCGGCTGTGCTGAGATTCAAGGACGCTTGACAGATACTTCTGGAAGTGGGCAGCACTGAAGCATTCAGCACTGTCCATAGTTTGGCGATAAACAAGCCATCTGGGATGAAGGAGATGAACAGAGTTTGTTTGCCGCACTATCCCCAGACGGCTCCATACCTCAACCCAACCTGTCTAGACCAGGAGCATGACAAATAAAAACTTGGCTTGTCTGAAATATTTCAGCTCCTTGAACAGATTCTCTCTGGATTGGACCTCTACATGTGCTGGGCCTGCTAGTGGTCAGAATTCCCACTGGCAAACTGGCTGGGAGCTGAGAGATACAATCCCAACATTGCTAGAACATGCCTGGCTAGAGAAGACTGAAGTAAACACGCCTACATTTTCAAGAAGCAGCCTTGAGGCAATTGTCCTTTCTTGGAGATCTGTCAGACCACACGGTGTGAGACCGCCCAGGATTTCAGCTGAACATATTTTTAATAAATCATCACGGAATGAAAAAAATCAGGTTCAACCAACCTTCCATATTCTTTGTTAAAAGTGACCAAGAATGAACATAGCTCACTTGACTGGCATCCAGGAAGACCTGTCAAGATGGTGATCACCACCTCCAAAAAGGAGAAGGGAAAGTTAAGATTATTAAATTGTCACTCCTTTCTTCAGAGATAAAAATAGCGATGGACAGAAGTCCAGCTGAAAGAACTTCTCCAGAATCTTATGTCCTACAAGCCCTTTGCAGGCCTTTATTCTTCTGCTAAAGGTTCATTCTCAACTGCCTTGGGTTTTCTCAGAGTTTTCACAGCACTCTGCAGGAAACTGCTTGTGATCTTCCCAACGGTCCACTTATTCTTTTTTTTTTTTTAAAAAGATGCCACAACTGAGAAACAGTGCTTGAAAGGACGCTATCAAATATCATTCCTCATGGGCTCAATAACATTCAGCCAGCTACGGTCTCCCCAACACAGTTCAGATGCTACCGGTGTTTTTAGAGGCTGACAGAAGCTGCCCGCATACAAGTCTCTTTGAAATCAATAAAAAATATATCCTGTAGTCAAGGGCAAACTTGAGGCCTCATATTTGTGAAATGTGTGATTATGCAAGATACCTGCTCTTCCTGCAATTCCAAACTCTGGTGACTTTTGAAAGAATGTTCTA